GTTCAGCAGCACAGAACAGTCACGGAGGCTGCGCCCAGGGGGCAGCCTCACCTACGCCCTGGCTCTCAGTTGCAAATTATTCAAGAATATCTCTGAACTTCCCTGGGAAAGTCAGACGAGCCTTTTACTGAAGCTTTGCCTCTGGACTTATGTGAGGTAGGCGATGACCCTCCTAGATCTGAGGCTAGAAGATACAGGGTTATGAATTTTGATGCGAATGCTTTAAATACAAAGTGATGCCTTAAAGAGCTACCCCGTCGGGCAAATGTGTCTGGACCACCAGAACTGGCAGGGTCCGTACAAGATACTAAATCTAGTAGTTCCCAGACAAGTCCAAGCTTTAAGGGGAGACCGGAAGGGTCGTCAGAGATTTAGAGTGCTGAGTCTCAAAAGACTTCAAGGGAACACATATAGGTCAGGCTATTTTTGGTAAAAATGAGGCTTAAAGGAACTCAAGTGCCAAACTCACCAAATTTAAACTAAGGCGCTTGTCTTGGTGTCTTGATTGGCCTTCCACGTCAGCTGCAAGAAACGAGATGGGGTGGTGAGAAACGCAGGACAACATCAATGTAAAGTAGGCACCAAGTCGCCATGGACCTCAGGGCCCTGTGCTCAGCTCTGTAGAGGCAGAGAAGCACAACACAGTTTCTATAAGCAAGACTTGCTCTTAAGTCCAGTTGGGCGGTCAGAACACATTCTGCAACAGGAGGAGATCAGACCAGATTTTGAAGAAGTTTCTGCATGATGGCTTTCGTTCTGTCTGTGAATTAGGAAGATATATAGCAAATAATTAACAAGTACTTGTGCTTATTGCACGAATTTTCCGAGCTGAGAGGTGGTAGAAACAGAGCTGGAGGTTTGAGGAGAGGAGGGGAGGCGTGAGATCTCCCTTGTGATGAGAAGGAGAACGGGGTAAACAGAGAGAGAAGTCTACATATTGCCGAGCAGCACTGAGGGCTCGTTTGAGGTCTGTGACCATGACTTGGTGACTGTGATTTTCTGCAGCGACGGTCAGCTACTCAGGTACAGGAGTGGAGAGAGAGGAAAGTTGAATACAGGATTAAAAACTTGGCAGATGGATATGACAAATAAACAGTGTGACATCAACATTTAGGATGATTGTCGGATTGAAAGGAGATATCCAGAAGGCGGCGACATATATATGGGCCTAACTCAAAAGAGATTTAATTCTAGGGGAACTAACAGCTTAGAGATGACAGTCAGAACCTTGAGAGTACATGGGATTATTTGGGTTGCAAGTGTTGAGAGAAGATTGACTATAAAACCCTAGGCTACGGCCATGCCACCCTGAACACGCCCGATCTCGTCTGATCTCAGAAGCTAAGCAGGGTCAGGCCTGGTTAGTACTCAGATGGGAGACCATCTAGGAAGACCAGGTGCTGTAGGCATTAAACGAACGAACAAACAAACAAACAAACAAACAAACCCTAGAGAAATCCAATATTCACCGGCTCTTCCTCAGAGGGCAACCATAGGGTGATGAGGACAGTTGGGGGGCATGGTGCCACTGGGCCTGAGGAAGGAGAGGATGGCCAATGATGGCGAGCACTGCCGAGCAGTCCAGCCAGGTGGCCCGCAAGAACTTAGAAGTGTGAAAAGTCAGGTTGCCTCTGAGAAATAAACTGAAGAGTCAACATTATCTTTTTTTTTAACCTTTTAAAATTTTATTGAAAGAGAATGATACAGGATATACTTGTATGTGTCTGACCTCTTTGCTCGATTTTTGTTTGTAAGGTAAGTCCAGGTTGTTAGGAATAAAGTTCATCCATTTTTTATTGTTATATATGTCAATATCGAAAGTGACACGTAGATGTGAAGATGGACAGAATTGGGAAGACGTATTATATATACAAATGTATGTACGTATGTGTGTGTGTGTATGCATGTATGCGTGCATGTGTGCATGTATGCATGCATGCATGCTTCTATGTCTCCAAACCTGCGGAGGTACTGGTTAGAAGCTGCTCTGGACTCATACTGTCTAATTTACAATCTCAACTCCACCACTTATTATTAGCTGTGTGACACTTAACAAGTTCCTTCTACTCTCTGTCTCAATTTCCTAATCTGTAGAGTAAGACCAATCATAGAATCTATTTCATAGGACTGCTGCAAAGGTTAGATGTGTTAGTGTATGTAAAGTGCTTAGTACAGTGCCTGGAACACAGAAAGGACTTAATAAACCATAGAAAGTATTACGAAGTGTTGTTGATAAAGAATGTGGGACTTGTGTATGTCGACACAGGTCCCTAACTCCCTTTCCATTACCAGGTCCCTAGTAATGTCACCACATAAAACCAATATGGAGAAAACCCTTCGTCAACATCAGAAAGTTTACGGACTTTATGATAGAGTAAAGATGGGATCAGACTAACAGCAGGCACCTAGAATGGATTCACATCCATAGTCCTATGAAACAGACACCTGGAAAATGAGTCTGCGCCAGAATCTCACTCTGCTGGGTTCCTGCTAACTCACCCATCGCTTGCTTAGAATTTCTTTTACTAGTTCCTCCTCTCGTCCACGATTTCCACACTTTGCAGGGCTCTAGGCTCAGTCTTTGGTTCTTTTCTATTCTCCATATCCATTCTTTTGGTGATCTCAAGTAGTCACGTGAATTTACTGTCTATACGCTGACAACCTTCAAGTTCATAGGTCCAGCCCAGGCTAGGCTTCTCACTGACCTTCGGATTCATATTTCTAACAAGTTACTTGACATTTCCATTAGGGTATCTAGCAGGCATCTCAAACTCGGCACATCCAAAAACAACTTCCTGACCTCCTCCGCCCCATCATCCAACTCATTCCACTCGTTCTTTGTTCCCCATCCGTTTCTCAGGCCAAAATCATGAAGTCGACATCGACTCCCATTCTTTCTCTACCACACATCCGATGGGTGAGGGTCTATCTCCAAGACAGATCAAGCATCCCACCATCTTTAACAAATTGAAAAGCGTCTATCCCAGTCTCGGTTACTCTTACGGTTTGTCTAGATTATTCTACTCATTTTCTACCCGGTTTTCCTGCTTTTACACTTGCTTTGCTTTCCTTAAGTCTATTCTCAACATTGTGAGGAGGTCCCATCTTCACAAATCGCTCTATCGATCTGACGCACACCTCCTCAGCGATGAACCTCGACCCCGCTCTGCAGCCACGCGTGAACGTTGGTTCCAGGTGGCGCTCAGTGGGGAAGGCAGAAAAGGTCTGACGTGTTCCCTCTGCTTTATCGGACCCATTCTAGCACTGAGACTCATTTTCATATTCTATTACTCCCCTGGTTTCATTCATGTCACTCCCCAAAACCTGCTCACACACTTTCAGGGTTCCCTTTTCCTCCACTGCTCACGTGCTGGCACGTTGGACCCTCCGTGGAATCAGCGCATATTCATTTCATCGAGGTTGTCGGAAGGAAGCAATCCGTGTAATGGTCACACTGCTAGGGACATTTGGGGGAGGTCTTTGACAGCGACTCAGTTCCTCGCTCAGAATCAGAAAGTTAGACAGTTCGAAATTAATTTGCATTCCTTTAACTTCTATAATTCCTTTAAAATGTGGCCTTATACGTAGCAGTGTAGGAGTGTTTGCGTTTGGATGAAGACGGAGGGAGAGGGAGAGAGAGAAGGAGAGAGGCAGCCCCCTGAGAATAAAGGGTTTCACAGAAAAAGGCAGGAGAAGGAGGGTATGTCTACGGAGCATGACGCTGACGGTGACGGCTTGTTGAAAGCCACGTGACCGGTCCATAGGCTAATTAGAACTTGGAAAAAAAACACGTCGGGCGGGATGATGAAGGAGGCTGATGGGACTGTTGACGACAGGACAGAAGAGCTGTGGTCCTCAGTCTCCGGGCTGACCATGCACGCGACAGACAGAGAACAAAACGGAGCAGAGCCAACGCAAGAGGTACCGCCTTCTGTAGAGCCCGTGGGGCCCCGAGGGACCTTAAAACAAACAGCAGGAGCTTATTCTCAGGTGGGCAGCCCGTCACAGGGGCAGGGGCATGGCTAAGGGACCAGGGCTCTGACTTTTTTCAGCATCTCCAGGGACCCAAGGAGTCAAGAGGGGGCCAGGCTTCTCGCTGTGCCTGAATGTTAGCATCCGACACTGACCTTTCAAGGTTCTCATGTTATCTAAACCAGGGAGAGAGGTTCTTCTCGGTGTCGTAGTGCTTTCTGGCCTCCTGCAGTTGCTGTGCCCACACCACAGCTGCTCCTCTTGGCGCCGTTCGAACAGGTAGCTCGGCTTAGGTGGGCGGGGAGGTGGCGTGTTGTACATTAAGTCTAGTTCTTTTGTCCCGTAGGGCAAGGAACCTCGGTTTTTATCTACGTCAATGGTGGCATTTAAGGACGTTTCTACCAACGGTGAAGTCAAGAGGTTCTTATACGGCCCACTGGAATCTCTACTCCGGGTGAGGGTGGCCTGAGACTTGGCGGAAAGTTTCTGCTGACACTCCTTCCCGTGGTAGCCCAAGCACCTGGGGGGCGGCGGCTTCAGGTAGTCAACAAAAACGTCATCGTATGAAGTCTGTCCCGATAAACGGTCTGAGTTTGACCAGCTATCACATCTGGTGGGTAGACTGAGGGAAGAAAAGCACGTACACGTGAGTGAAACGCAGCGGGTCCCCGGCAGCTGCCGTCGGTACCACAGCGACACTACTGGTACGCCCTTGGCAGAAGAAGTCTCACGATGAAAGCCATCCACCCACCACAAAACCCACGCTGGCCTCACTCCCGTTCCTCGAATATCACCTTTTATTTTATTCATATAGACACATTCCCTCTATAACCCTCGGTCGCATCAACTCGTTAATGCTGGGGGGAAAAAAAAATGGTTTGTTGATTTTTTTTCGTCCTGTAAGTGTCAGCTACGCATGAAAAAGCAAGGTTAGAGACGAAAGCCACAATACTGAAATATGACTCATTTTGTTTAGTAAGCTGCATGCTCCATCCTTCACAGGCGCTGATAGTGATCTGTCCCCGCCCTGTCAGCGGCAGGAAGAGAGAGAGGTGATTGCAGACCCACCCACTAGAAGATGCAACAGCTACATGGACCGATGTGCTCAGGCACACTGAGCACATCTCAGTGACAGACACTGAAGGGGGAGCCAGTGCGGGCTGTGCAGACAGAGCGGAGTGTGCTGGGAGCGTACCTGGCATGGTGTGGCCTTCCAGTCTCACAGTTGGACAGAATCAGATAATCAGGAAGGGAGTTTAGAAACTCTGACTCACTTCTGGTTTTCTCAGTGGCTACGGTATTAGTTCTTGGGTCATCTCTTGGCAAAGAGGAGCTGACAGTAGGGGCGGTGTGAAGGGAGCTGGCAGAGGATGGCTGGAGGGAGGAGGAGGGCGTGCGATAGTGGCTGTCCGCGGAATCTGCTGGAGAAATCATGTCCCAGGTTAGCGTTTAAGAATGGCTATAACACTCACTCACAATTTCTCAAACAGCGTCTAAAGAAGCCAAATAGAAGATGCAAATCACAGCCGGTGTTTGTACCGATGGAGGAGACCGTTTCCCCAAGCTATAAACAATGTCTGGGAAAGAAGGCCAATGTTCCAAGAGCGAAGTGTTGAATAGAATACAATAGGAAAGGGGAGGAAAGCAAAGGAAGAAAACAAACAGAATAGAATAGATTAGTGTACTTAAGTACAATAAGTTATATTTTACTATGGCTGGTGGTTAAAAAAAAAAGAAAAAAAACAACAAAAAAAAAACACAAGCATTCTTGGCATAAAAACCTGCAGTTAGATAGTCTACACACAGCTTCTTTATGGCTCTCAGCCGCAGCCGTGCATCACTGCTTATTCACTCAACAAATATACATATACGTACATATTTATGCATATCAAATACATATGTATACACTTACATATGCATTTATGCATATATGTATGTACATAGAGAGAGAGCTATGTCTATTTACGTCTCTACAGAATCCCTACTTTGAACCTACTATGCGCCTGGAACTGTTCTAACTCTGCCTACGTGGCCGAGACAAAGACTTACTGGAATTTATAGTCCGCCAGAGGACAAGCACCTCATAAATAAAGAAGACTGTTAATGATTGACTGTTAATGACCTATAAGGAAAAGGAAGAGAAAAATGAGGCGTTGTGATGGCTGGTAAAGCCCACACATCCCTCTCAAGGAGCATAACATTCAGAAACTCCCTATGAAAAGCCTGCTTTTATTTCCTCTCTGAACCAGATTGGCAGGAGTTCAAGTCAAGGCTCTACTATCTAGCTGCTGTGACCTTGAGCAAGTTACCTTCCTGCTCTGAATTTCCTTCTCTGTGAAGCGAAGATGCTAACAGTATATACGCCACAGAATTGGCCTACGATAAGACGAGCTAAGAGGCAAAGGCATTTAACAGAGCTCCTGACCAGAGTACGCAGTGTTGACTACCTATGGCTGCTGAAGACAGAACCAAACTCTATATGCGAAAAGCCACGAGAAAACCCTTTGGGCGTGATTCTCGGATGAAGACGACTCTGACCTGAAACCTCCTAAAAACTAAGGGGAGATTTAGGGATGGAAAGAAGTCATGGGGGTTGTCGGCTTCTTCTCACTTCATGCCAGAGCTTTCTGTTTTCTCCCTGGTGTCTTACTCCTGTTCTATTTCAAATATTGGTTACCATGTTATGTATCTATGTTTTAGGATAACTCCCGCATGAGCAAAGAAACAGAGGAAACACATAACATGACGCATGAATATATCTCTACTTTGGGCTGAAGGTAGGCAAAGAGTGAGTGAGTGGCAAGGTTGGAGGACTTGGCCAGGGAGCCTCTGCTGTCTGCATGCATAGTGGCAGACTCCAGCCAAGTACATTCTCTGTAACTTTGCTAGTAAGCTTCATCTATTCTGGTAAGGATAAAGAACTCACCATCACTTCATTTCCTTATATTTGAGTGCTGTCAAAGCACAACAATGTGACTGAATAGCTTCATTTACTAATCTTCCCTGGTTCCTGAAAAGAAAAGGACTCTGTCTTCAGGAAACACGCTCACGAGCCTGTCCTAGAGAGATGCAACTCTGACTCTCCAGCACCACCTAGTGTTTAATGTAGATATTTCAGCAGCTGATGATAAAGCATACAGTAACAGTGGAAATGAAGAAGCAGCTGTTAACCATGGGATGCAGGAGCAAGGTTTTGTCTACTAGACTCAGAAGCTAAAAGAAATCGGATCAAAAGTCCCATGGTTTGAGAATCACGGCATGGTGCTCAACAATAAACTCCATTAAGGAGAATGAATTATAATCTTGGGTGTATTATACCTGGTATATTACATGAAAAGGGCGGGGGGGGCTGGTGTGGTGTGGTTGCAAAATTATTTTTGTTTTCTTCGTGTGTGTGTGTGTGTGTGTGTGTGTGTATGACAGAGAAAGAGAGAGAGCAACAGAAAGAGGGAGTGAGAAACAGCCTCATGGGTCATTTGTTCCCACTGTCCAGAAATGGCCCTGAGCAAACTGGGAGTTAATTTCGCTTGCAGACACCTTGAGCCAACCGGAGATGCGAGGAATTCTTCCTTGCCTATGATTAAGTAGCCAAGTTCTGTCTTTCTGCCGTGTAGTCCTAAGCAGCACAATAGGTAATAGAGAAGCTGGAGTTCCATGCATTTTTGAAAGGTGGGGTTATTTAATATTTCTAGAAAAGCAGCAGAAGCAGATGCAGCAGCAGCAGCAGCAGCAGCAGCAGCAGCAGCAGCAGCAGCAAAAATCAGAGCCCTACCGGACGTCCTCACCCACGTTTTAGTGTCACCGAGTGCGTTCTCTGTGGCTGATGAGAGCAAAGGCACGGATCAGCTTCGAAGCCATTGAAGTTGCCTGCAATGCTCAGTGTGTGGTACATTTGGCCCTGAAGCCTGAAACCAGGTGAAAGGGAGAGAGATCTCTGGTACCATACTTGGTGGGAGGGAGCAAGTCTGATATGTCAGCCCACCAAAGTGCCCTCAAAGGCGGTGGGCTTGGCACCTTATAACGCTTTTCCCACCGTAGCCCTCCAGTGCATGTGCAGTGTCCCAGGCCACCCCTTTAGCACACAGGAACCCCGACTCTGTTCTCACCTGTACCATCCTCCACGTTGACAAGGTTGCAGACCTCACTGATGCTGTGTATCCACACCAGCATTTCCACCTCGGTCTTGGCCACCAGATAGTAGGTCCGAGAAGCAGTCTTAACAGTAAACACGAAATGATTCAGAAATTCCTTCCGAACGAAGTCAGGGCCCGCGTGCTTCCATACTGCACACTCATTGAGATCTATCACACGGATGGGCTTGCTCGAGTGTTTGTTCCGGTAGTACTCCAGGACATCAGGGTTGCCACTCATGCGGCCCCGCCGGAGGACAAACCAGCGCTTGCGCCAGGCCTGCGGGGAAGCAATTCCACAAGGAGTTACTGATCCAATTATTCATGCTTCTCAGACTCTGACAATAACCTCTTTAGCGACAACAGCAGCAAAAAGAATTAAGTCAGCCATTCTAACAACGACACGCAAAGTCCACCCAGCTTTGGATTGAAGGACTACGGCACCATCTTCGAGTCTGCTTTTTTCGACGATTATAAGATGGGTCGTTATTGGGGAGTATAGTGATATGATTCACATCCATACTTCAAAGGGCCAGAACTATACAATCATCACAATCGATGTAATAAGAACTTATTTACACTCAGGCTTTAAAAACGAAAACGAACAAACAAAAAACCTTACTAATAATGAAGAACAAGAAGGAAACTTTCTTGACTGCTATCTATCTCAATCCAAAAGCCAATGATCATACATGAAGATCAGATGCAAATCAGTGCCCACCGATGTCAGCAACATCTAATATTATTAACTTCTGGAGAATCGCTCAACAAGAAAAGAAAAATCATATGTTGGAGAGGAGAGAGGATTACCATTATCTGAAATTGATCTCTCTTTCTAGAAACCCTCAAAGATGATTAAAATACAAGTAGAACTCTAAGAGAATTAAGTAACACGTGGCTAATTACATTTCTGCGAGAAAACCATTTCCTAAGTGTTTTACCATAACCTATTTAATCTCCAGAAATATCCTATAGGAGAGGTAACTAATTTTCTTTACCTTTTTTCAATTACAGTTGAAATTCAATCTTATTTTATATTAGCTTCAGGTGTATAGCATGGTGGTGAGACATTTATGTAATTTATTAAGTCATCTCTCCTGATAAGTCCAGTACTCACCTGGCATCGTACATAGTTATCACATTATTATTGACTATATTCCCTATGCTGTACTTTACATCTCCATGACTATAACTGGCAATTTGCACCCCTTAATCCCTTTCACCTTTTTCACCCAGCCCCCCAAACACCCCTCCCATCTGGTGACCTTCAATTGGCTCTCTGTAGCTATGAGTTTGTTTCTGTTTCATTTGCTTATTTTGTTTTTTAGATAACACACATAATATGTTTCTCTTTCTCTGACTTATTTTACTCAGCATAATATCGTCTAGGTCCACCCATTTTGTCACAAATGCCAAGATTTTATTCGTTTTTTTTTTATGGCTAAGTAACATCTAATTGTACATACGTATCGATTCTTCTTTATTCAATCATCTATTGATGGGCACTTAAGTTGCTTCCATATCTTGACTATTGTAAAGAGCACTGTATCGGACATACGGGTGCATTTATCTTTTAAAATTAGTGTTTTGGATTTCTTCAAATAAGTACCCAGAAGTGGGATTGCTGGATCATAGGGGAGTTCTACTTTTAAGTTTTTGAGGAACCTCCACACTGTTTTCCACAGCGGCTGCTGCCCCAGTTTGCAGTCCCACCGGCAGTGTATGAGGGTTCCCTTTTCTCCACATCCTCGCCAGCACTCGTTCTTCGATTTATTGATGCAAGCCATCCTGACAGGTGTCAGGTGACATCTCATTGTGGTTTTAATTTGCATTTCTCTGACGATTAGTGACTTCGAACATCTTTTCATATGTCTACTGGCCATCTGTATGTCTTCTTTGGAGAAATGTCTATTCAGGTCCTCTGTCCATTTTTAATTGGATTTTTTTTTTTGGTATTTATGAGTTTGTTATAAATTTTGGATATTAACTTCTCATCGGATGTATCACTGGCAAATATCTTCTCCCAGTGTCTTTTTGTTTTGTTGATGGCTTCCTTTGCTGTGCAAACACTTTTAGTTTGATGCGGTCCCATTTGTTCATTTTTCTTTTGTTTCCCTTGTCCGAGGAGATACATTGGGAAAAAAATGACTGAGAGCAATCTCAAAGAGTTTACTGCCTATGTTTTCTTCTAGGAGTTTTATAGTTTCAGGTCCTACATTTAAGCCTTTAAGTCATTTTGAGTTTATTCTTGTATGTGGTATAAGAAGGTGGTCTAATTTCATTTTTTTGTATGTGTCTATCCAGATGCCCCCAACACTATTTGACTTGATTGTCTTTACCACATTGTATATTTTTGCCTCCTTTGTCATAGATTAATTGACTGTGTAGATGTGGGTTTATTTCTGGGCTCTCTATTCTGTTCCATTGATCTATGTGTCTGGTTTTATGCCAGTCCCATACTATTTTGATTACTATAGCCTTGTAGTATAGTTTGATATCAAGTAACAAGTAACGTGATATCTTAACTTTGTTCTTGCCCAAGATTGTGGTGCCTATTCGGGGATCTTTTGTGGTTCCCTATACATTTTTGCATTATTTGTTCTAGTTCTGTGAAAAATGCCATCGGTATTTTCATAGGGATTGCATCGAATTTATAGATTGCTTTGGGTGAGATGGACATTTTAATGATGGCAATTCTTCCCATCCATGAGCACGGCATAGGCTTCCATTTATTTGTATCTTCTTCAATTTCTTTCTTCAGCATCTTATAATTTTTGAAGTCTCCTAGAGAGGTAACTATTTTTGTGCCCATTTTATGTACGAAAAATTGAGAAATTAATTAATGTGTCCAAGGTGACACAGCTAAGCTGCTGTAGGAATGGATCCGAACTCAAGTGAGGGTAGAAGGATGAGTGGTGAATGTGAAGTAGAAGAGTAGAGGGGGGAGCGGCCAATTCTGTAGGGATGTCTGATTGTAAAAGGGAGCACTCTGGAGTCAAGGGATTATTTTTTAATGATGGAGAACACATGCATTCACCCCCTAGATCACAATGTTCCTCAACCAGGAATGGAGATGTCCTATAGGGTATCTGAAAATAGGTGTGTTTTGCTTGTCATAAAGTCTAGGGTTAGGGCTTGTCTGGCCTAAAGCTATCAGTGTCCCTGTTGAGAAACACTAACAATTGAAAGGACCTTTCCTTAGTGCAATAGGAATCTCAGAAAGAGCCGAGTCTTGAGGTAAGATGATCCGGCAAAGCTTAGTCCATGCTCCAAAATGAAGAGAACGATGCTGCCAAGAAACCAGCCTGAGTTAATGGCAGGCTACTTCGCATGACACTGGAGCTACTGAGGGGGACTTAAGCTTCCTCGGCTCCCCACTCACCCTTGACCTAGAATGTTTCCTGCAGACAGTACCCAGAAGATGGGCAAATCTCAAAAGATAAACTGATACCTACTTTTTTGGGTATGAGGCCTGGGGAAAGAAGTATTCGCAATTGATCACAGCCGTGCCATTCTAAGGCATCCTCAGTATCTGTAAAGCTCCCTGCTGTCTCCTGAAGCCAGGGAGAAAGAAGTGGAGCCTCTCCGCAGGTTCCCTATCTTCTTACTTTTAGGTCTTCTTTGCTCAGTGCGTGCCACCTGGCCAGCCCGTGTGGATAGCATGTCCTTGCTTTCTGCTGGAGAGAACTGAGCACAGGCTGACAGGTGACAGCGAGGCTTTCTTCCATCAGAGACGCTTCATGTTGCAGTTGGCAAATGCAGATGGAGAGATTTATGTCTGTGGTTTGCTCTCCTGTGCAGTGGCATGTGTGACAGCAGGAAGTATGGGGTTCTGCCAGGAGGCATGATGACCACTGGGACAGGAAGTCTTTTGTATCTCCAGCTTCATTTATGCCTGACACATTTATAAGCCCACCAGCCTCGACCAAGAGGCCAGGGGGAAAGGAAAAGCCACCATTTGGAGTGTTCTCAGCTCCCTCCCTGCCCAGGGATCTGAGGCAGTAGAGATACTGATAAAGCACCAGAGAGGGAAAGACCTGCAATTATGCCTCAGAATAAGAAACCCTTTGTCTACGGCCATGCCACCCCGAACGTGCTCGATCCCGTCTGATCTCGGAAGCTAAGCAGGGTCGGGCCCGGTTAGTACTCGGATGGGAGACCGCCTAGGAAGACCAGGTGCTGGAGGCGTAAAACATAAAAAAAAAATAAGGGATTGTAAACTGACAAGGTCCTTGCAATCTGTGAGGTCAACTGAGGGTTGCTTTGCCTTAAAAAAAAAAAAGAAAAGAAAAAAGAAAAAAAGAAACTCTTTTGAGCCTGAGGCGGGGGGCGGCCATCGGATGGAGGGAAGTCGCTCCATGTCAGGGTGGAACAGGGAGGGGAAATCGATGCCTGGCAGGTGAGCCCTGGGTTCTGCCTTTACGGATAGTGTAGTGTAAAGCTCCGAGGAGATGTTTGGCTACTTGGAAGAGGGACAAGGCAATGTGATTAAGCTCTTGTTTTTCACAGGAGGAATAACAGCCTGTTTGTATGGTTATGGGAGTCATCCAGGAGGCTGAGAAAAAATGAACGATTCAATAAATTCCTGTTGCAAAAACATGGTATTGAACGGAGTGGAATCACTGACCGTGAGGAAGGGAGCTCAAGTGTCACCGTGGGGTTTGGAGCGATGGAGGTGGGACATTTGGGCTTCTGGCAAACAGGAAAGGAAGGCCTAGTCCTTGTGTTCCTTGCGACAATGTGGGTCCAGGGCAGGGTCCCAGGGGATGAGAGACTGTCATGTATCCCTGCTGAAGAAAGCTGTCATGGGGAGCCCATACTTTCCAAAGGCCACTTCGGTAGGGAATGTGCAGAGGAGGGCTAGAAATACGAAATGGGTAGATTCGACGCGGGGTAACGAGTCCACTAGTAGAGGCGCCCGCCAGGAGCGGTGGGAACACAAAGGGGACAGCAACGTGGACAAGTCTGGGTTTCGCTCATTCGTTCACCAATGACGCATTGATGGGCCGGGCGCTGTGCAGACGTTGTGAAAATGGAGGTGAACAAGCGACGGGCCTTCCCACTCACAGTCTCGTGGGCAGCAGGGGAAATGGGCAGATGGATAAACAGTCAGTGAGATAAGTGCCATGGTAAGGGAAAGCCAGAATGCTATGGTAACACACAAATGAGCCACGTCTATCAGATTGCTGGGTCTAGGGAAGCTTCCAGAAGGAAATGATGGCTAAGCTGCGACCGAGGAAAGGATAAGGAGGCAGCAGCATGCGGAAGTCCAGGTAGGTCCGCAGAGCTGGAAGGCAGGCGTGAGAGCGGAAAGGAAAAAGAACAGTCGCCCAGCAACTTAAATAAGATGTAGCATAATCTTCATGCTAAATCGCGCCCTCGACAGCACGCCCTCCGTCGGGTTTGAAAATCTCCAGCTAATAGCAGTAATTACGCAAAAGCAGAAACGGTGTGTTCTTGGAGCTCTCTGCTAAGTTAGCTCAAACTGGAGGCCAGGTACAGTCCTGTCTCATCAGGCTTGCAGGCTCCTCCTGGAAGTGGGAGACGTGGAACAAAAACCCCCGAAAGCAGTCAGCCAGCACCTAAGTGAAGTTCTTTACAGTGAAACAGTGCCACGAGGAAGTCATCAAATAGAAAGGGTCACGTCAAAAGGACTCAGGAGCCAACCTGAGGAAGCTCCCAGTGGCCAAAGATGTAACAATCTGAGCTTTAATAAATATGATCGTTTCAGTGGCTTGCAATCCGTCGAATACGTTTGAATCCGTGAGTTCTCATGATATTAAAAAACAAACAAAAAAATATGTCATCATACGTGAGGGAAGTACCTAGTTACCCTGCAAACTGGTAAGTTAGGGGAAAAAAATTAAGCATTATTCTGCCTTTCCTAGACAAGCCATCCCGCCGGGCGGATGAAATAAAACGCCTTTTTATAAATGTATTCTGGCTAATAAAGGAAAACAAACGCCAGAATTAGAGTAGCACCATTTTGTTGTCCCCAGTGAATTAGCAGATATACGTATTAAGCATTAATAGTGGCCGACTCAGGAAGAGAAACAAGCAGACAGCCCACCTGCAGCAGCCTGGCATGAGGCAAAAGCCAGATCGTAGGAAATTCTGTGGGGCGAAGGCCCAGGTTCTTCAACAGATAAATGATAAGAAAAAGAAAGGACAGAGCGGGGAATCTACAAACTAAACGACACTTAAAAGATGCATGGAATTTTTTCCAGTGTGCTAGACTACATTATAGCGCCTAGGGGATGCTCATTTTGAGTGACAGAAACATAAAAAACGTAAAGAAGAGATTTCTATACACAGCGGGATAGTACTTACTCGTGGGGACAAGGAGGAGGCTGTGACTGAGATGGGGCACACGGAGGGACTTCAGCAGTGGGTGGTAAAGTTCTTTTTCAACTGGTTGGTGGTTACAAGGGGGGTTCAACTAACAGTAATTCACTGAGCCACGCATTTAACAAATGTGACGCCGTATTTTTCTTTTACGATAAAAAAGATTTTAAAGCAAGTCCTCCGGACAGGGTGTATTGATGGATTCATTCAAAGAACAGTTACTATGTGTCAGGCACTGTGCACGACAGGAAGAAGGAGATTGGTTTGTCAGAGAGTGGTGACGCTCACAGAGGCCGTGGGGACCCCGAGGCCTGTTGTCTCTCCTGACTGGAGGGCTGTTTACATTCTACAAGGGCAGAATCGCTGGCTTCCGTGGCTGCGCTGGACTCCACCTTCTCCCCTCCACCTTCTCCCCTCGGGCCTCCCGTGCTGGGCAGGTCAGGAGCAGCTTGAAAAGCCATGATGAAAAAAGATGAGGTCAACAGTTCTGGAAAGACTACAAAGACGAGTATGCCCTGGGCCAAGAGGACCTAGAAAGCAGAATCGCTGTGCAAAGGAGTACCCACAATTATGACTCAGAGCAACAGAGCGCGAAACAGGGGGGTGGGGCTGAACTGAGAGTCAGGAGACGTGCATCTGAATGCTGATTCTACTTTAGACTTTCTGGGTGACCTTGAACGATTAACTCGACTGCTGCGAACCTCGGTCCGGCCATCCGTAAATGAAGATAATAAATAAACCTTGTCCTGCCTCCCTTATGGTGTAATTGCAGTGAACCAATGGGAAAGGGGTAGTGAAACGTGATCGATCTGAAAGTAACTTATAAAAGGATGATGGGATTGTTGGCTCCCAGGGCGTAAGGCACCGCTCGCCCTGAGAAAAAACTGCTTCTCCCCGTCTGGAGCCCCCCGATGGACTCCGAGGGCTTTTCCAGCTCTCACCATCAAAGGATCCATTTCCCATCAGCCTTTCCTGCCAAAGCCACCAAGCTGAGTCATTACCACCCCGCCAGTATCATCTCCAACAACAAAACCTGCAACATCCTGTTACCTTGCGGAAAAGTGTTTGTGCTCATTTCTAGAATCTGAACTCCTCCAAGGAAGGTGTGTCTAGGTCACGGTCTTGTTCGTTTTCATGGAATTGTTACAGGGATCATTGAATCCCATCCTTTCGAGTAAAAGCTATGTGTTAGTGTCCTCCTGAACCAACCCAACTCGTAGGTTTCACAGTTTACAAATACCCCCTAGTTTTTCTTGATCACGAGTGACCCGCCAGGCTAAACACAAGTGCAAGACTGAGCCGGTGCAGTGCACATGCGCAAGGCTGCTACTGCTTTAGTATCTAGGGAAGAGGGGCTGACACTTGAATCTGAACTTCCCTGCTCCAGGTTGAGCTGTGTCCCCCCCTAAATTCATACGCTGAAATCCTAACCCCTCATACTTCAGAATGTGACAGTATTTTGAGATGGGGGTCTTACCAAGTTCAATGAGATCATCGGAGTGGGCCCTAATCCAATATGACTGGTGGCCTTATAAAAAGGAAAACTTTGGACACACACATGCACAGAAGGAAGATATTGTGAAGACACACAAGGAGAAGGCAGCCATCAACAAGCCAAGGAGAGAGGCCTGGGACATGCCCCCCTACCCTGCCCCATGGCCTCAGAAGGAGCCAACCCTGCCGACATATTGATCTTGGACTTCCAGCCTCTGGAACTGTGAGACAATCAATTTCTGTTGTTTCAGCCACCCAGTCTGTGATAGTTTGTTACAGCAGCCCCGGCAAACTAATACGTTCTCCAACCTTCATTATGCATCTGAACTACCTGGGAGGACTTCCGCTTACACCCACTGAACTTGTCCCCTACCCGTAAAACCAATGAGAAAACTAGACCAAACATATGAAACAACTGCTTTCAGTGTGTGGCTGTGGTCAGCATGAGAAGAGAAAACAAAAGAGGCGAGCCGTGGGACCATCCTGGCCTTCAGCCTATAGACACATTTCAAGACTACAGTGCAGGGGGAGGGTCCGAAACAGAGCGCTGCACTCTCGCAGGGTTGAGAAGACAGAGATCAGAATTCTGGAGAGTTGAGGTGGCTGAAATTTGTACAGCAAAGTACCAGAGAGGAGGGAGCTAAATAAAGAAAGGGCTTCAGAAATCAACATATGAATTCCTCCGTGAGACTTCGGCTGAGTACTAACATAACATGCACTTGTGCAGGGTGAAACCCCATGAGGCAAATCCAAAAACGACTCCTGGAAACTCACAAACTGAATAACTGATGGAGCTCGCACAGGGCTGGGAGCTGAGTTCTGATCAGCTAGCGTGGAGACTGGGACATCCAGTAGACTCTACACCTAACCTCGATTAAAAGGAAGCCTTGGGATAATCAAACTGATCATATAGTTACTCAAGAAAGTTTAACCGTTTTCAAGGGAAGACAGCAAAATCCAAACACGTAACAATATAATATTTACCATGTAAAGCATCCAAAAACGTTACTAAAAATGTAAAGAGGCAGGAAAATGTGGCTGATAATCAGGAGAAAAAAAAATTGGTAATAGACATAAACCTATAAATGATGGAGATGATGGACTAAGCAGACACGAATTTTAAAACAGCTATTATAACGTTTGAGATTTCAAGGAAAACATGTACACAAGGAGAGAAATGAAAGATCTAGACTAGAACAAAATAGAACTGTGGAAGTGAAAAATACAATATTAGAAATGGAAAAAAAAACTGGATGGGCATAACAATATTAGACACTGAAGAAGGGATCAGTGAACCTGAAGAACAGAAAAGAATGGGCTAGGGGAGAAATGAACAGAATTTCCCAGGG